AGTCCTGGTTTAGACCTGGTTCTGGTTTAGTCCTGGTTTAGTCCTGGTTTAGTCCTGGTTTAGACCTGGTTTAGACCTGGTTTTTAGTCCTGGTTTACCTGGTTTACCTGGTCCTGGTCCTGTTTAGTCTGGTTTAGACCTGGTTTAGTCCTGGTTTAGTAGACCTGGTTTAGTCCTGGTTTAGCCTGGTTTAGTCCTGGTTTAGACCTGGTTTAGTCCTGGTTTAGAGTCCTCTGGGTTTAGTCCTGGTCTTACCTGTTTAGTCCTGGTTTAGTCCTGGTTACCTGGTTAGTAGACCTGGTTTAGTCCTGGTTTAGACCTGGTTTAGTCCAGGTTTAGTCCTGGTTTAGACCTGGTTTAGTCCTGGTTTAGACCCTGGTTTAGACCTGGTCCTGGTTTTTAGTCCTGTTTAGTCCTGGTTTAGTCCTGGTTTAGTCCTGGTTTAGACCTGGTTTAGACTGGTTTAGTCCTGGTTTAGACCTGGTTTAGTCCTGGTTTGTTCTGGTTTAGTCCTGGTTTAGACCTGGTTTAGACCCTGGTTAGTCCTGGTTTCCTGGTTTAGTCCTGGTTTAGTCCTGGTTAGTCGTTTTAGTCCTGGTTTAGTTCTGGTTTAGACCTGTTTAGTGGTTTAGTCCTGGTTTAGTCCTGGTTTAGCTGGTTACCTGGTTTAGTCCTGGTTTGTTTAGCTGTTAGGTTTAGTCCGTCCTGGTTTAGCCTGTTTAGACCTGGTTTAGTCCTGGTTTAGTCCTGGTTTAGTCCTGGTTTAGTCCTGGTTCAGTCCTGGTTAGTTTACGTTTATCCTGGTTTAGTCCTGGTTTAGCCTGGTTTAGTCCTGGTTTAGGTTTTTAGTCCTAGTTTAGTCTGGTTTAGTCCTGGTTTTAGTCCTGGTTAGTCCTGGTTTACCTGGTTTAGTCCGCTTTAGTCCTGGTTTAGTCCTGGTTTAGTCCTGGTTTAGTCCTGGTTTACCTGGTTTACCTGGTCCTGGTTTAGTCCTGGTTTAGTCCTGGTTTAGACCTGGTTAGTCAGTCCTGTTTAGTTTTACCTGGTTTAGACCTGGTTTAGTCCTGGTTTAGTCCTGGTTTAGTCCTGGTTTAGTCCTGGTTTAGTCCTGGTTTAGTCCTGGTTTAGTCCTGGTTTAGTCCTGGTGTCTCACGTACACAGAGGCAGTGGTCGGTGGTGGATCACATCACGTGACTCAGATTCTGTGAGAAAAAGAAAAGACAAAAGGATGAGATAAAGACAAAGACGAACTGTGGCACTGCTCTTTGTTTTAAAGCTGCATTGTGTCACTTTTCTGGTGGAAATGTTGTTTTGTCTGGAATGTTCCACAGTGTGGCATTAAACCTTTCTGTCTTCACAGAGACCAAACCAGACCAGGTCACAGGTCAGATCTGTGGAGAGGCGACCCCACTCACAGTCACAGTGTCAGTTTTTCTTGGTATTTTTGAGCCATAAATCCACCTGTGATTGAATAAATATAAAGTTGAGCTGTTTAAAGTCACACTGTGGAACATTCCGGACAGCGCAGGGACGTCTCCATAGAAACGCTGCTGTTTAAATGACTTTCGTGGGCTTCTTTAACTCCAGTTTCTTCCTGAGACGATCTGAAACCGTTTGGACACGGTGTTTGTGAACGTGTGTGTGTCGCGTCTCCATGGCAACTGCTGAACATAAAACCACAGAGGCACACGTAGAACACCCCCCGGCACACGTAGATAGAACACCCCCCGGCACACGTAGATAGAACACCCCCCGGCACACGTAGATAGAACACCACACGTGGCACACGTAGAACACCCCGGCACACGTAGAACACCCCGGCACACGTAGAACACCCCCCACACTGCACACGTAGAACACCATAGCCTGGCACACGTACTCCCCGAACACCCCCCACACGGCCACACGTAGATAGAACACCCCCGCCCCGCACACGTAGAACACCCCCCGGCACACGTAGAACACCCCCCGCACACGTAGAACACCCCCGCACACTAGAACACCCCCGCACACGTAGATAGAACACCCCCCGCACACGTAGAACACCCCACGTAGATAGACCCCCCGCACACGTAAACACCCCCGGCACACGTAGAACACACAGTACCGGCACACGTAGAACACCCCCCGGCACACGTAGAACACCCCCAGGCACACGTAGAACACCCCCCGGCACACGTAGAACACTCCCAGGCACCGTAGATAGAACACCCCCGCACGTAGATAGAACACCCCCCCGCACACGTAGAACACCCCCGCACACACCGACACTGCAGAGAACCAATGAAAACAGCTCCAGAATTGAGACTTGAGAGCAAAGTAAGAACTGTGTGTGTGTGTGTGTGTGTGTGTGTGTGTGTGTGTGTGTATCTGTGTGTGTGTGTGTGTATGTGTGTGTGTGTGTGTGTGTATCTGTGTGTGTGTGTGTATATGTGTGTGTGTGTGTGTGACAGGTGGACAGGTGGCTCCTGTAACTGCCCCTGACACTGAGCAGATGTCACACACTCGTCTTTTGTGTCTGTGTTTTTGTGTGTGTGTGTGTGTGTGTGTGTGTGTGTGTGTGTGTGTGTGTGTGTGTGTGTGTGTGTGGCGTCGCCTCTCCACAGATCTGACCTGGAACTTGGTCTGGTCTCTGTAGAGGTAGAAAGGTGTAATGTCATACTGTGAAAAGCAATAAACCAGGACTAAACCAGGTTTAAACCTCAAAAATCCCTTGACAAACAGACTTTCTGACTGTGACTGGGGTCGCCTCTCCACAGATCTGACCTAGAACTTGGTCTGGTTTGGTTTCCGTGAAGACAGAAAGGTTTAAAGTCACACTGCGGAACATTCCAGACAAAGTTACACAATTCTTTTCTCCTCCTCAGATTCTGCTCAAACGTTTTAGAAACTCAGGAGCAACTTTCAATGCTTTTTTTTTTTTTTGCTCTCGCTGCTGCCCGACACACCACGCAGGTCTCACAACAACAACAACAACAACAACAACAACAACAACAACAACAACAACAACAACAACAACAACAACAACAACACTGTGGCCCTTTAAACTTTAATCACGTCTCGTCTGAATCTTTTTCTGAGTAAGTCTGATCTTGCGTCGGTGTTTTGAGGCGAGGTCGTGTGAACGGCTCTTATCAACACTGAGCACGAGTTAAAAACTGCAGCCAATCAGAAGGAGAGCACATACACCTCCAGAGGGCGCCGGAGCTACAGCTACTCTGGACCAGGCGGCCATGTTGGGACTGGAAACTCTGGTCAACAGCTACAGCACAGACTGATTCTAAGTTTCATAATCTTACTAAACCAGGACTAAACCAGGACTAAACCAGGACTAAACCAGGACTAAACCAGGTCTAAACCAGGTCTAAACCAGGACTAAACCAGGTCTAAACCAGGTCTAAACCAGGTCTAAACCAGGACTAAACCAGGACTAAACCAGGTCTAAACCAGGACTAAACCAGGACTAAACCAGGTCTAAACCAGGTCTAAAACCAGGTCTAAACCAGGTCTAAACCAGGTCTAACCCAGGACTAAACCAGGTCTAAACCAGGTCTAAACCAGGTCTAACCCAGGACTAAACCAGGACTAACCAGGACTAAACCAAAAAACCAGGACTAAACCAGGTTCTAACCAGGACTAAACCAGGACTAAACCAGGTCTAAAACCAGGTCAAAACCAGGACTAACCAGGTCTAAACCAGGTCTAAACCAGGACTAAACAGGTCTAAACAGGACTAAACCAGACTAAACCAGGTCTAAACCAGGACTAAAACCAGGAACTAAACCAGGTCTAAAACCAGGACTAAACCAGGTCTAAAACCAGGACTAAACCAGGTCTAAAACCAGGACTAAACCAGGACTAAACCAGGTCTAAACCAGGTCTAAAACCAGGACTAAACCAGGTCAAAACCAGGACTAAACCAGGACTAAACAAGGTCTAAAACCAGGTCTAAAACGAGGTCTAAAACTAGGACTAAAACCAGATCTAAACCAGGACTAAACCAGGTCTAAAACTAGGACTAAAACCAGGTCTAAAACTAGGACTAAACCAGGTCTAAAACTAGGACTAAAACCAGGTCTAAAACCAGGACTAAACCAGGTCTAAAAACTAAAACCAGGTCTAAAACCAGGATTAAACCAGCTCTAAAACTAGGACTAAACCAGGACTAAACCAGGACTGAAGCAGGAGTGTGGAGACCGGCCCAGACGTGCACCCGCGTAGTCTGTCGGTGATCGGAAAACCGGGACTCAGGCCGGGACTCAGGCCGGGACTCAGGCCGGGACTCAGGCCGGGACTAGATCTGGTTCTAGTTTAGACCTGGTTAGACCTGGTTTATTTAGACCTGGCTTAGACCTGGTTTAGTTCTGGGTTAGACCTGGCTTAGACTGAGCTGGTTTAGAGGCCTGGGACCTGGACTAGACCTGGTTGGACCTGGTTAGACCTGGTTTAGACCTGGTTTAGACCTGGTTAGACCTGGCTTAGAGCTGACTCAGGCCCCTTAGATTAGACCTGGTTTACCTGGTTTAGACCAGTTTAGACCCTGGTTAGACCTGGTTTGGTTTAGTCCTGTTTAGTTTATCCTGGGACCTGGTTTAGAGTCCTAGTTTAGTCCTGGTTTAGACCTGGTTTAGACCTGGTTAGACCTGGTTCAGTCCTGGTTTAGTCCTGTTTAGACCTGGTTTAGACCTGGTTTTGGTTTACTGGTTTAGACCTGTTTAGTCCTGTTTAGACCTGGCTTAGACCTGGTTTAGTCCTAGTTTACCTGGTTTAGACCTGGTTTAGTCCTGGTTTAGACCTTTAGACCTGGTTTAGTCCTAGTTTAGTCCTGGTTTAGACCTGGTTTAGTCCTGGTTTAGACCTGGTTAGACCTGGTTTAGACCTGGTTTTAGACCTGGTTTAGACCTGGTTTAGACCTGTTTAGACCTGGTTTAGTTAGTTTAGTCCTGGTTTAGACCTGGTTTAGACCTGGTTTAGACCTGGTTTAGACCTGGCTTAGACCTGGTTTAGACCTGGTTTAGACCTGGTTTACCTAGTTTACTGGTTTAGACCTGGTTTAGACCTGGTTTAGACCTGGTTTAGTCCTGGTTCAGTCCGGCATCGCAGTTTAAGTCACGTAAACAGGTCGTTATCTGTTTTTTCCATTTTTCATTTAAACACAAAATCGAAACATGAAAAAAAACGAATCATTATCTGTTTTTGCATTTTGGTTTTGGAGACAAATGACGAAGAAAACTGTTGTTTTTTAATTTTCTTATTTTTATTTTGAAAAACAAATGAACGAACGCTACGCCGATTCAAAACACTCCGTCCATCTCTTCTGCTCCCGGTCCGGACCTTCCGTCAAATTTTAAAACCCTCAAAAAGTTTGGCCCTCCCCTGGACTATACAGTAATACAGGAATGTTTACACCTCAAATAAGTAAATAAAGCATAAAAATATTCAAATACTACATAGAAATGACATAATATTAAACAAGGATTACCACTACTACTGTACCATCATTTCTGTAACTTTTATTCATATATTTGTTTGTTTTTGTTTGTTTAAATTGCTCCTTTTTACAGTTTGGCTTCCTGTACTGTCCTAAAATGGCGGACAAAGTTCCCATGGCTCGAGCTGCTTCTCTAGAGTTTTTTATTTTCTGTTTTCTCAGCTGCTGTAAGGACGATCCAGCACAACGCGTTTTTTTTTGTTTTGTTTTTTTTTTACTACGATCGTGCGTTTAATTCCGCTGTCACGCCGCAAAAACACCACAAACGTAAAAAAAACAAAAAAACAAAACAGACGCGCAATCGGCGACTTCAGGCATTCGGACGGAGGCGCCGCGGAGGCTCAAGGACAGCAAAAAAAAAAACGCTGCAAACGCGAGTAAAACGCGACGCTAAAGTATTCCACGGTGTGCTCGGGTGTTTTCTGTTCGTGTTTTGCGGCGCACTCACCGTCCCACCGTCCCGTCGCTCCGTCCCGTCGGTCCGTCGGTCCCGTCGCTCCGATCGCGGAACGTTTTAGTTTGTTTTGTTTTGTTTTGTTTTGCTTCGAACGCTGACAGTTTGGACACGCCCCCTTTCGCTGAGCGGAAGTGACGTAGTTTAAAAGCCTTTGTTTTGATTCGGTCTCTTCCGCTAATAGTTTCTTTTTTTTTTTTTTTTTTTTTTTTTTTTACTTTTATTTATTATTGACGAGAGAGAAAAATGGAAAAGAATAAATGCAGAAATAAAATAAATAAAATATATCATAAAATAAATCATTGTAAAAAAATAAAATAAATAATAATAATAATAATTCAAATTCAGTTGCTTCCTCAAACATTTATTTTTACTTATTATTAACGAGAGAGAACAATGGAAAAGAGTAAATGTGAAAATAAAATAAATACATTAGTTATAAAATAAATAAAATATATCAGAAACTGTAAATGTAAATCATTGTAAAAAAAATAAAATAAAATAAATAAATAATAATTCAAATTCAGTTGCTTCCTCAAACATTTATTTTTACCTATTATTAACGAGAAAAATGGAAAAGAGTAAATGTGAAAGTAAAGCAAATACATTTGTAATAAAATAAAAATAAATAAATAAAATCTAGAAATAAATCAGTGTAAAAAAAAAATTCAAATTCAGTCACTTCTTCTCATTTTTTACTTTAATTTATTATTAATGAGACAGATAATTGGAAAAGAATAAATGTGGAAATAAAATAAATACATTTGTAATAAAAAAAATAAATAATAATAAATGTAAAAGTAAATCAGTGTAAAAAAAATTTTAATTATCTTCAAATTTGGTCACTTCCTCAAACATTTATTTTTACTTTTATTTATTGTTAATGAGACAGATAATTGGAAAAGAATAAATGTGGAAATAAAATTAGTAATGCTTTTTTTTTTTTTTTTTTTTGAATCCTCCTCGTGTCACACAGGTTCAGATGATTCTCACTTTAACTGTTGCCTTTAGGGGAGGGCATCAGGTTTAACCACATGTGGAATGGAAATTCAAATGTCAACAGGTGTTTTCCACTGATCCTAACCCCCCTCCTCCCAAAGGCCAAAAGGTCAAACTCAGACTTTGTTAAAGAGTTCAACTCTGAGTTTTCTGTTTCACACAGAGTCTGTCGCCATGGCAACTCTGTGAAACTAACCTGGTCCAGTGCAGCTTTTACTCCTCTAAACCCGAGTTTAACTCAGAGTTAACTCGAGTTTAACCCCAAGTTTAACTTGAGTTTAACCTGAGTTTAACCCGAGTTTAACCCGAGTTTAACCTGAGTTTAAACTGAGTTTAACCTGAGTTTAACCTGAGTTTAACCTGAGTTTAACCCTGAGTTTAACCTGAGATTAATCAGAGTTTAACCCGAGTTTAACCTGAGTTTAAACTGAGTTTAACCTGAGTTTAACCTGAGTTTAAACTGAGTTTAACCTGAGTTTAACCTGAGTTTAACCTGAGCTGAGTTTAAACTGAGTTTAACCCGAGTTTAACCTGAGTTTGCTTCTGAAGGAGCCCTCTGATTGGACAGACCACAAAAGTGCAGGAACAGTTTCCCTGTGCTCGATTTTCTTCCGACTCCCACTTGGACCTCGGCGTACGGGGGGAGGGGGGACGGTCCGTGTGACGTACGGGACGGGGGGGTTTGTGTTTTTGCTGCCCGGTACCGGTCTGCGGTCCAGGGGTTTTGGACCTCCGCGACTCATTTTAGAATAAACAAAAATAAGTAAATAATCTGCAAACCGGCAAATCGTCTGAGCGACACGTCACAGAAACATCACGAGACGCTGAGGACGAAAACAAACTCTCGTAAAACCAAATGAACCTCGTTGGACCAGAGTGTTTTCAGTTTGAGAAAAGAACTTTAAACTCCTACACGAGGAGGTTTGTGTGTTTCACGTGTGAATGAAACGAAACACAACTCCAGGTCTGTGTGTGTGAGCAGGAAACTGAACAGGACTCGAAGCGCAGGATCTTGAACTGTTCAGCAGAACGTCGTCAACGATGGAAGCGTGACTCACTGGACCATCGTCCTCCGCATGAATGAGGCTAATCCCTGTTGTCCCAGGACTAACCAGGATTAACACGAGGCCGTAGTTACTCGCAGAAGTACTAGTACACACAAACGCAGTACTTCCAAACTACCAAACCACAAAATACACACAGACCCGGAGCTGTCAGATGAAGAAAAAGAGTTTGAGCATTTCACTGGGCAGACAGACCAAGACCAGACCGGGACCAGACCAAGACCAGACCAAGACCAGACCAAGACCAGACCAAGACCAGACCAAGACAGACCAGACCAGACCAAGACCAGACCAAGACCAGACCAGACCAGACCAGACCAGACCAAGACCAGACCAAGACCAGACCAAGACCAAGACCAGACCAAGACCAGACCAAGACCAGACCAAGACCACACCAAGACCAGACCAGACCAGACCAGACCAAGACCAAGACCAGACCAAGACCAGACCAGACAGACCAGACCAGACCAGACAGACCACACCAAGACCAGACCAAGACCAGACCAAGACCAGACCAAGACCAGACCAGGACCAGACCAGGACCAGACCAAGACCAGACCAAGACCAGACCAAGACCAAGACCAAGACCAGACCAGGACCAGACCAAGACCAGACAAGACCAGACCAGGACCAGACCAGGACCAGACCAGGACCAGACCAAGACCAGACCAGGACCAGACCAAGACCAGACCAAGACCAGACCAAGACCAGACCAGACCAGACCAAGACCAGACCAGGACCAGACCAGGACCAGACCAAGACCAGACCAAGACCACACCAAGACCAGACCAAGACCAGACCAAGACCAGACCAGACCAGACCAGGACCAGACCAGGACCAGACCAAGACCAGACCAGACCCAGACCAGACCAAGACCAGACCAGACCAGACCAGACCAGACCAGACCAGGACCAGACCAAGACCAGACCAGACCAGACCAGGATCAGACCAAGACCAGACCAAGACCAGACCAAGACCAGACCAAGACCAGACCAGACCAGACCAAGACCAGACCAGGACCAGACCAGGATCAGACCAAGACCAGACCAAGACCAGACCAAGACCACACCAAGACCAGACCAAGACCAGACCAGGACCAGACCAGACCAGACCAAAACCAGACCAAGACCAGACCAGGACCAGACCAAGACCAGACCAAGACCAGACCAAGACCAGACCAAGACCAGACCAAGACCAGACCGGGACCAGACTATGACCAGACCGGGACCAGACCAGGACCAGACCAAGACCAGACCAAGACCAGACCAAGACCAGACCAAAACCAGACCAGGACCAGACTTGGACCAGATTTGGACCTGAGTTCTTGATGTGACACATTTTGAAACATAAAATGAGGAGTTTTTGATGAGTTTTGTGTGAATCTCTGCTTTGGTTTTAAAGTAAAATGTGAAATGTTCAGGGATCGTAATCGAATTATAATTTTTTACACAGAAAAACACAAAGGTGAGAGTTTTTACTGTCATAACATAAATATTAGTGTGATAAATATTAAGTTTGATGAATAAATGAGCAGACGATGTTTGAGGCTCAGAATAAACTGCAAATCAAACAAAACGTTTTTGCACCAATAATATTTTGTAGTCGTAGTTGCTGTTGTTGCAGAGTCGGCGTCAGAGCTCGTCTACTGAGGGGCGTGGGTCACCAGCAGGGGGCGCACTGCCATTTGAGAAATATTTTAACGCGGTGGAGTCATACACAGCAGACATGCTTCAAACACGTTTATCTTTAACAGTATTAGGATAATTATGTGTTGTTATTATCATTATTATATTATTATTATTATTATTATTATTATATTATTCTTATTATTATTAGCTGCAATAGTTGTTGAGGCTGTGTGGTTGACAGTGTTGGGGAGGTGACTTTTAAAATGTAATCCCCTACAGATTACAGATTACACACCCCAAAATGTAGTTTGTAACATAATCCATTAAATTACTTAAAATGAGTGATGTAATCTGATTACTTTGGATTACTTGATATTGTCATGTTTTTTTAAACGACATGAATGTAGAAACCACATCCTGAAAATTCTTGTTTGTTTTCTTCAAATTGTCTGAGCCCAAGTCTCCATGAATAAACAACTGTTTACTGTAGAAACAAAGACCACGAGATCTGAACATAAGAGGTTTTGTCTGTTAAAAGACAGAAACAAGATCAGCTTTTCCTTCACCAGATTAAAAAATATTATTGATAGAGAAATTATTTTTTATATGAGATCAACTTTAATTATGTCCAACCTACTGTTAAGTGTCATGTTGTTTAGTCCTAGTTTAGTCCTGGTTTAGACCTGGTTTAGTCCTGGGTTAGTCCTGGTTTAGTCCTGGTTTAGTCCTGGTTAGTCCTGGTTTAGTCCTGGTTTAGTCCTGGGTTAGTCCTGGTTTAGTCCTGGTTTAGTCCTGGTTAGTCCGGGGTTAGTCCTGGTTTAGTCCTGGTTAGTCCTGGTTTAGTCCTGGTTTAGTCCTGGTTAGTCCTGGTTTAGTCCTGGTTTAGTCCTGGTTTAGTCCTGGGTTAGTCCTGGTTTAGTCCTGGTTTAGTCCTGGTTAGTCCTGGGTTAGTCCTGGTTTAGTCCTGGTTTAGTCCTGGTTTAGTCCTGGGTTAGTCCTGGTTTAGTCCTGGTTTAGTCCTGGGTTAGTCCTGGTTTACTCCTGATTTTAGACCTGGTCTAGACCAGGTCTTTAGTTCTGGTTTAGTCGTGGTTTAGACCTGGTTTAGTCCTGGTTCAGTCCATATACAGCGCAAAAGTTATTTTGGTGAGAGTAATTTAAAGTAATGTAATAGTAATGTAATATCTTACATTTTAAATGCAGTAATATTGTAATGTAACTAATGACTTTGAAATGTCAGTAATAAGTCATAAATAAATAACACATTACAGTGTTAAAGTCACTTGCCCAACAGTGGTCACAGTAAAGTTTGTGCCCTCAGCCCGAAGTGAAATGCGCCAATCAAAATCATTTTAAAATAGTCATAATAACGGCCTGTGCTGGGGGGTGGGGCATCAGTGGCCGCTAGGGGGGGCACGGCCCTCAAATGCCCCCCCCCCCCCGCCGCCGACACCGAATTCGGAACAGTGATAGAACTCAAGGAGACGAGCAAAAAAGCCAATCATTGTGCGGCTCTGTGACGAACAGGAAGTCGGCCATATTGGATAAAAAATTCGCCACCGTTTTGATTTGGGCGTCTACAAAAAGATTCAAGTCCCCGGGGTTTGGTCCAGATGATCTCAAATTTGACATGTCACATCTACAGACATAAACTCTTGTGCACTTCTGTCGGACTCAAGGACACAGTGACTCAGTGGAATATAGATGTTCTCTCTGTGACGGGGGGGTGTTCTGCTGATGGTGAGTCTGTTCTGTGTCCAAACAACACAGAAAAACAGATTTTAGAATAAGGAAACTGACTTACAGAAACAGTAAAATTAGAGATTAAAAATAGGATTAACGTGATTAAAAAACATAACACGCTAAATATGACTGTAATTAATGAATCGCAATTAACGTGATAATTTGACAACCCTAATTAGAACACGACTGAACTCTCACAGGAGTCCGTCTGGTGTGATCTAGAAGCTTCGATGATCAAACACAACATCAGGTTTAAAATGTGTTGAGAATCATCAGCTCTGACGTAAAACATTCTGAGGGACGAGTTTCCGCCGCAGCTTCAGCACGAAGCTCCGACTAATCCCGAAAGATCCAGAGAGTGAGACGGATTAAGACGAGAGAAACGCACACAGAGGCAGAAGAGGAGCATGGCGCTGCTGAAGGCCGGCTGGATCTGGAGACAAAGTGAGTAGGAAAAAAGTTCAGACCTGATCCAGTCCCGGTTTAGACCAAGGTTAGTCCCGGTTTAGACCAAGGTTAGTCCCGGTCTAGTCCCGGTTTTATTTGGTCTCATTTCAGTTCTCCAAATGAGCCGATTGAGATTATGTCATGTTCTAATGTTCCTCCTCACAAACAGAGCTGGAGTCGTGTTCGTTTCGTTGTCACGAGTCTGTTTACGTCTCCAAAGCTCCAGACGCTCTGTTCCACCTCGTGATGTCATGAAGTGGCAGTTTTCAAGTTTTAACAGCAACTTTCACCTCCTTTTAGTTCAGCAGAGTTGGGCGACTCCAGGACTGAAATGATCCAGGTGATTCTAGTGAAGGTGTGTGGAGTTTAAAAACACAGTGGAGCACTTACTGTGTCACCACATGATGACATCACAAGGTGGAACAGTGTGTTTTCAGTTCTTTTTTCAGCCTAAATGTGCAGGTTTGTGTTTTAAACATGTGTGAAGGAAACAAAACACATCTGCAGATCTGTTTGTCTTATTACAGGTGTTACTAAACTTTCTATTCAAATGTAATTAACATGATTTTATTAAAGATTCACAAACTTAAGGTAAATACACAAATGTTACTAAGCAACCAAAATGTAAACAAAGACCAAAACGACTCGAGTCTAAAAGACACAATAGTCGTGATCAGACTCTTTATTTAGTGAATTGAAGTTTTACATCAGGAGTCATCAAATTAACAAATCAAGGCCTGTGGGCCAACTCCGGCCCTACACACCCCTTTGACCGGCCCCCAGTCCCTCGCCCCCCCCCAATTTCAATTTAAATAATTTTATTTATATGCAGAATTTATATTTTAATAATAATATGACGTATTTACATTTACGCCAAATTTTCATCCAACTTGAGATCAAATAGTGACAGTCAACGCACAGAGAGTACTGTAGTACTCAGTACTGTAGTACACAGTACTGTAGTACTCAGTACTGTTGTACACAGTACTGTTGTACACAGTACTGTGTACAACAGTGCTGTACTACAGAGTACTGTAGTACTGTAGTACAGTAGTACAGAGTACTGTATTACTGTAGTACAGTACTACAGTACTACAGAGTACTGTAGTACTGTAGTACAGTACTACAGAGTACTGTATTACTGTAGTACAGTAAAATGTCCTGGTGTTAAAGTAGTAAAAGTTGTCAGTGTGGAGTTTTCAAAGAAAAGTGGACGATTCTTTTTGTGTTCAGTGTTCATCAGTTTGTCTGTTGAAAATACATTTTAGAGGTTTTTAAAAAAAATAATCTGCATCGTCAGGGTCAAACAAGTGACCCCCGTCACTGTCAGGAGCCAGAATGTGGCCCCGAGACCCGCGAGGTCCCACTGTGAGGTTCCTGTGAGGTCCCGATGTGAGGTCCCTGTGTGATGAGGTCCCGGTGTGAGGTGTGTGTGTGAGGTCCCAGTGTGAGGCCCCGGTGTGAGGTCCCGATGTGAGGTCCCTGTGTGTGAGGTCCCGATGTGAGGCCCCGGTGTGAGTTCCTGGTGTGAGGTCCTTTGTGAGGTCCCTTGTGAGGTCCCGGTGTGAGTTCCTGGTGTGAGGTCCTTTGTGAGGTCCCTTGTGAGGTCCCGGTGTGAGGCCCGTGCACTGTGTCCAGCCTCGGTCTTGCGGCGCTGGAAGCTGAGCTGGTGCGACCTGTGGGTGGACGGGTCTCTGTGCTTCTACGAGAGCGAGAGGAGGAGGAGCCTGGAGCTGAGGGTCGCCCTGAAGACGCTGTGTGTGGACGTGCGCTCGGGCCTCGAGTGCTCAGGTGAGGCCCGGGGACGCTGACGGGACGCTGACGGACACTGACGGGACTGACGGGACGCTGACGGGACGCCGACGGGACGTTGACGGGACGCCGACGGGATGTTGACGGGACGGGACGCTGACGGGACGCTGGACGGGACGGACGCTGACGCTGACGGGACGCTGACGGGACGTTGACGGGACGCTGACGGGACGCTGACGGGACGCTGACGGGCCGTTGACGGGACGTTGACGGGACGCTGACGGGACTGACGGGACGTTGACGGGACGTCTGACGGGGACGCTGACGGGACGCTGACGGGACTTGACGGGACGACCGACGGGACGCTTGACGGGACGTACGGGACGCTGACGGGGACGCTGACGACGGGACTGACGGGACGCTGACGGGACGCTGACGGGACGCCGACGGGACGCTGACGGGACGCCGACGGGACGCTGACGGGACGCTGACGGGACGCTGACGGGACATTGACGGGACGCCGACGGGACGCGCCGCTCTGTCTGGACACGTGTCGCTCAAACCCTTCGTTTTGTGTCCAGACGTGTCGCCCCCGGAGACTCACCCCCGACAGAACCTGCTGGTCCTGCAGCTCCGGGACGGATCCTGTGTGAACCTGTGTGCCAACAGTGAGGACGAGTCTCTGTGAGTGTCCCCCGGTGTCCCTCTGTGTCCTACTGTGTCCCTCTGTGTCCTAATGTGTCCTACTGTGTCCCCTTTATGTCTTACTGTGTCCTACTGTGTCCCTACTTGTCCCTTCTGTGTCCTACTGTGTCCTACTGTGTCCCTTCTGTGTCCTACTGTGTCCTACTTGTCCTACTGTGTCCTACTGTGTCCTACTGTGTCCTTTCCGTGTCCTACTGTGTCCTTTCCGTGTCCTACTGTGTCCTATTGTGTCCTACTGTGTCCTGCTGTGTCCCTCTGTGTCCTACTCTCCCCTAATGTGTCCCTCTGTGTCCCTCTGTGTCCTACTGTGTCCCGTTGTGTCCTACTATGTCCCCTCTGTGTCCTATTGTGTCCCCTTTTATGTCTTACTGTGTCCTACTGTGTCCTACTTGTCCCTTCTGTGTCCTACTGTGTCCTACTGTGTCCCTTCTTTGTCCTACTGTGTCCTTTCCATGTCCTAGTGTGTCCTTTCCGTGTCCTACTGTGTCCTTTCCGTGTCCTACTGTGTCCTTTCCTATGTCCTACTGTGTCCTATTGTGTCCTACTGTGTCCTGCTGTGTCCCTCTGTGTCCCTCTGTGTCCTACTGTGTCCCCTTTATGTCTTACTGTGTCCTACTGTGTCCCTACTTGTCCCTTCTGTGTCCTACTGTGTCCTACTGTGTCCCTCTGTGTGTCCCTCTGTGTCCCTCTGTGTCCTACTGTGTCCACGGAGTCGAGTCTCACTTCCTGTAGCGGTCAGTGGGTTAGCTACGTCCACTTATACCATGGATCTATTAAAATAACTGGATACAGTATTGCTGCTTGTAGCTGCCTCCAGTTGACGTAGTGTCACTCACTGAACTTCAGCAGAAAAAATCCCATGGGCCGAGACAAGATTTTTCTCATAGAGGCAATGTAATCACAAACTGCTCGTGTTCGTCTGACAGATCACCTACAGCTTTCAAAAATGTCGGATTTGCTGGCGATTTTTACCTATTTTAAGATCATAAACTTTTTCTCAGCTCAAAATTCTTCAGTTGTCTTAAAAAACAGTTTATATTCGTTAGCTTCGGCTACGCTCTGCTCCGCTTTAGCTCCTCTCACTCTGATTGGTCAAAGCGATCACGTGACACACGAGCCCGTGCACCGTGCGTGCGGTCGCGTGCATTCGCGTGTGCCTGTGGGAGAAAAGAGCACTAGTGCGCATGCTCGGTCAGCCCACAGCCGCCGGAAGTACCTAGCCATGCTAGGCTAATCTGGGATCATGCGCCATTGAGCTCAGCCCATTGACTTGAATGGGCGGCCATTTTGGAACCTGGGGGCTTGACTTATACAAACAGTCCGTCCCCGCGTCCTGACCTGTCCTTGTGCGGTTTCAGAGCGTGGAAGCTGACTCTGCTGGAGACCCGGAGGAACCCGGTGAGTGCCCCACACGCTGCAGCACCTGAGAGGACCTCCACCGCGAGGGGCGTGCGGGTGGAGGTGTGGGACATGCGGGTGGAGGTGTGGTACATGCGGGTGGAGTTGTGGGACGTGTGGGTGGAGGTGTGGGACATGTGGGTGCAGATGTAGGACATGTGGGACATGCGGGTGGAGCTGTGGGACGTGTGGGTGGAGGTGTGGGATGTGCGGGTGGAGGTGTGGGACATGCGGGTGGAGGTGTGGGACGTGTGGGTGGAGGTGTGGGATGTGCGGGTGGAGGTGTGGGACATGCGGGTGGAGCTGTGGGACGTGTGGGTGGAGGTGTGGGATGTGCGGGTGGAGGTGTGGGACATGCGGGTGGAGTTGTGGGACGTGTGGGTGGAGGTGTGGGATGTGCGGGTGGAGGTGTGGGACATGTGGGTGCAGATGTAGGACATGTGGGACATGCGGGTGGTGTGGGACGTGCGGGTGGAGGTGTGGGACGTGTGGGTGGAGATGTGGGACATGCGGGTGGAGGTGTGGGACATGTGGGTGCAGATGTAGGACATGTGGGACGTGCGGGTGGAGGTGTGGGTGGAGATGTGGGACATGCGGGTGGAGGTGTGGGACATGTGGGTGCAGATGTAGGACATGTGGGACATGCGGGTGGAGGTGTGGGACGTGCGGGTGGAGGTGTGGGTGGAGGTGTGGGACGTGCGGGTGGAGGTGTGGGACTGGTGGGTGGAGGTGTGGGACATGTGGGACGTGTAGGTGGAGGTGTATCCTGGTGGAGGTGTGTCCTGGTGAAGGTATGGCACATGTAGGTGGAGGTGTGGGTGGAGGTGTGGCACATGTGGGTGCAGATGTAGGACATGTGGACGTGTGTGGAGGTGTGGAACGTGCGGGTGGAGGTGTGGTGTGGAGGTGTGGGGACATGTGGGTGCAGATGGAGGACATGTGGGACGTGCGGGTGGAGGTGTGGGACTGGTGGGTGGAGGTGTGGGTGGAGGTGTGGGACGTGCGGGTGGAGGTGTGGGTGGAGGTGTGGGACTGTGGGTGGAGGTGTGGGACTGGTGGGTGGAGGTGGGTGGAGGTGTGGACGTGCGGGTGGAGGTGGGTGGAGGTGGTGGTGGAGTGGGACTGTGGGTGGAGTGTGGGACCTGTGGGTGAAGGTGTGGGTGGAGGTGTGGGACGTGCGGGTGGAGGTGTGGGACGTGCGGGTGGAGGTGTGGGTGGAGGTGTGGGACCTGTGGGTGGAGGTGTGGGACCTGTGGGTGAAGGTGTGGGTGGAGGTGTGGGACTGGTGGGTGGAGGTGTGGTGGAGGTGGGACGTGCGGGTGGAGGTGTGGGACGTGCGGGTGGAGGTGTGGGACGTGCGGGTGGAGGTGTGGAGTGCGGGGTGGAGGTGTGGGTGAGGTGTGGGACCTGTGGGTGGAGGTGTGGGACCTGTGGGTGAAGGTGTGGGTGGAGGTGTGGGACTGGTGGTTGGAGGTGTGGAGGTGTGGACTGGTGGGTGGAGGTGTGGGACTGGTGGGTGGAGGTGTGGGGACTGGTGGGTGGAGGTGGTTGTGGTGGAGGGTGGAGGTGTGGGACTGGTGGGTGGAGGTGTGGGACTGGTGGGTGGAGGTGTGGGTGGAGGTGATGTGGGACGTACCGTGAGCCGTGACTGTGTGATGTTTTTGACCACAGGTGTTCGTGTACGATCCCCATGACGACGCGTACGAGGCCGTCCCTCTGAACAGACACCACACGGTCTACATCACTGCAGGGGCGGGGCCAGGTACCAGCACACACACACCCGTCTCACTCCGACGTGTGTGTTTTCATGTGACCCGTCTCACTCCGGCGTGTGTGTTTTTATGTGACCCGTCTCACTCCGGCGTGTGTGTTGTGTCATGTGACCCGTCTCACTCCGGCGTGTGTGTTTTTATATGACCCATCTCACTCCGGCGTGTGTGTTTTCATGTGACCCGTCTCACTCCAACGTGTGTGTTTTCATGTGACCCATCTCACTCCGGTGTGTGTGTTTTCATGTGACCCGTCTCACTCCAACGTGTGTGTTTTCATGTGACCCATCTCACTCCGGCGTGTGTGTTTTCATGTGACCCGTCTCACTCCGGCGTGTGTGTGTTTCATGTGACCCGTCTCACTCATGTGACCCGTTCACTCCGGCGTGTGTGTTTTCATGTGACCCGTCTCACTCCAACGTGTGTGTTTTCATGTGACCCATCTCACTCCGGCGTGTGTGTTTTCATGTGACCCGTCTCACTCCGGCGTGTGTGTTTTCATGTGACCCGTCTCACTCCGGCGTGTGTGTTGTTCATGTGACCCGTCTCACTCCGGCGTGTGTGTTTTTATGTGACCCATCTCACTCCAACGTGTGTGTTTTCATGTGACCCGTCTCACTCCGGCGTGTGTGTTTTTATGTGACCCGTCTCACTCCGCGTGTGTGTGTTTTATGTGACCCGTCTCACTCCGGCGTGTGTGTTTTTATGTGACCCGTCTCACTCCGGCGTGTGTGTTTTCATGTGACCCGTCTCACTCCGGCGTGTGTGTTGTGTCATGTGACCCGTCTCACTCCGCGTGTGTGTGACCCATCTCACTCCAACGTGTGTGTTTTCATGTGACCCGTCTCACTCCGGCGTGTGTGTTTTCATGTGACCCGTCTCACTCCGGCGTGTGTGTTGTGTCATGTGACCCATCTCACTCCAACGTGTGTGTTTTCATGTGACCCGTCTCACTCCGGCGTGTGTGTTTTTATGTGACCCGTCTCACTCCGGCGTGTGTGTTTTCATGTGACCCGTCTCACTCCGGCGTGTGTGTTTTTCATGTGACCCGTCTCACTCCGGCGTGTGTGTTGTGTCATGTGACCCGTCTCACTCCGGCGTGTGTGTTTTCATGTGACCCGTCTCACTCCGGCGTGTGTGTTTTCATGTGACCCGTCTCACTCCGGCGTGTGTGTGTTTTCATGTTGTGTCATGTGACCCGTCTCACCCGTCTCACTCCGGCGTGTGTGTGTGTTCATGTGACCCGTCTCACTCCGGCGTGTGTTGTGTCATGTGACTCGTCTCACTCCGTCTCACTCCCGCGTGTGTGTTGTGTCATGTGACCCGTCTCACTCCGGCGTGTGTTGTGTCATGTGACCCGTCTCACTCCGGCGTGTGTTGTGTCATGTGACCCGTCGTGTGTCGTTCTGCAGGGACTCATCAGGTGGTGGTGCAGAGGGACCCGTTCGATGACGTCGCGGGTCACGTGGTCCTGGGTCTGCTGACGGGGATGGCTGCCGGAGCGGCCATGAGGTCTTTCTTGTGGATGCCCTTCTTCTTCTGCTGAGGGCCACACGTTGTCCCTGCAGGGGGCGCTCTCTGTTTAGTGCTGAACGACGCAAAATGTCCCACAGTGCACCTTTAAAAGTAGTGTCCAGCGCCGCTCACTAGGGGTCAGTGTAGAGCACAGAGACACGGGTTTAACGGGACAAATACTACTACTGTTATACTTGTACTACTACTACTGTTATACTTGTACTACTACTACTGTTATACGTGTACTACTACTGTTATACTTGTACTACTACTAGTTATACTTGTACTACTACTCTTATACTTGTACTACTACTGTTATACTTGTACTACTACTGTTATACTTGTACTACTACTCTTATACTTGTACTACTACTGTTATACTTGTACTACTACTGTTATACTTTTACTACTACTGTTATACTTGTACTACTTCTGTTATACTTGTTCTACTACTGTTATACTTGTGTACTACTATTATACTTGTACTACTCCAACTATTATACTTGTGTACTTCTATTATACTTGTCCTACTACTTCTGTTATACTTGTACTACTACTGTTATACTTGTACTACTACTGTTATACTTGTACTACTACTGTTATACTTGTACTACTACTGTTATACTTGTACTACTACTGTTATACTTGTACTACTACTGTTATACTTGTACTACTGTTATACTTTTACTACTACTGTTATACTTGTACTACTACTGTTATACTGGTACTACTATTATTATACTTGTGTACTACTATTATACTTGTACTACTCCAACTATTATACTTGTGTACTTCTATTATACTTGTCCTACTACTTCTATTATACTTTTGTACTACTATTATATTTGTACTACGATTATTATACTTGTGTACTACTATTATACTTGTATACTTCTATTATACTTGTACTACTACTGTTATACTTGTACTACTACTCTTATACTTGTACTACTACTGTTATACTTGTACTACTTCTGTTATACTTGTACTACTACTGTTATACTTGTACTACTACTGTTATACTGGTACTACTATTATTATACTTGTACTACTCCAACTATTATACTTGTGTACTTCTATTATACTTGTCCTACTACTTCTATTATACTTGTGTACTACTATTATATTTGTACTACGATTATTATACTTGTGTACTACTATTATACTTGTACTACTACTTCTATTATACTTGTCCTACTACTTCTATTATACTTGTGTACTACTATTATATTTGTACTACGATTATTATACTTGTGTACTACTATTATACTTGTACTACTACTTCTATTATACTTGCACTACTACTTCTATTATACTTGTGTACTACTATTATACTTGTACTACTACTATTATACTTGACCTACTTCTTCTGTTATACTTGTGTACTTCTGTTATACTTGTGTACTTCTGTTATACTTGTGTACTTCTGTTATACTTGTGTACTTCTGTTATACTTGTGTACTTCTGTTATACTTATTAAACTGTCACCGCTGAATGAAGCAGGTAGAAGTTCTGTGTTTGCGTCTCTGTAGATCCTGATTGTGAATAAAACTCTCTTAAATAAAGTTTTTCTGGTGTTAGCGGTGAACCGAGCGGAGCCACAATATTCCAGTGTAAGTCAGTGGGAGCCAGAGCCAGAAGGAGCCAGAAGAGCCACATGTGCACTTCCTGTTTATGTCCATTTTTACTGGTGGGTTTCAGACGACATCACAACATTCTACAGGACAGTGTTATTTAAATACAGACGGGGGCACCTAAAAAACTGACTGTTGTTCATTGGCAGGTTTGTGTTGTAAACTGCACGTCTTGGCTCTTGTCAGAAATAAAAATGATCAGGTTCCATCTTTGGTCATTTAACTTTTCAATATTTCATGGCAAAGTAAAGTGTAGTTAGAAGTAAAAACTGACTCTTGCCCCCGTCTCAAAGTAATGCTGCGTTTTACTGAATGTCGGTAGGAGATAAATCTGAGTCAGTTTAATATGAACTTTAATAAACCAATAAAAACACTTCAATATGAACTTTATTCAACTAATAAAAACACTTTAATATAAACTCTGATAAACCAGCAAAAACACTTTAATGTGAACTTTAATAAACCAGTAAAAACACTTTAATATGAACTTTAATAAACAAGTAAAAAACACTTTAATATGACACGGCGTGCATCAAAATATTAAAAAAGGAAAAAGTTAAAATCCATTATAAACAGATGTATTCAAATCAAATCAGGTCATTTCTGGAAAAACTGAGCTAAATCAGGCAACAACAAAAGCTAATAATGCTAATCATGCTAACAATGCTAAAAATGCTAACGATGCTAAAAATGCAAAAAATACAAAAAATGCTAAACGATGCTAAAAATGCTAAAAATACAAAAAAATACTAAAAATGCTAACAATGCTAACAATGCTAAAAATGCGAAAAATAATCATAATAATAATAAACACTGGATCTCATTTGAATCAGAGCCACAGCCTGAAACTCTGAAACAGGACCGACAAGGATCTGAACCGGTCTGAAACAGGACCAATGCGGATCTGAACCGGTCTCACTCACAGCTTGGGCCTCTCTCTAGATCCGCCTCAGCCCTGACCTGAAACAACAGGACACAGCACAACAACAGGTCAGAAACCAGGACTAAACCAGGTCTAAACCAGGTCTAAACCAGGACTAAACCAGGTCTAAACCAGGACTAAACCAGGACTAAACCAGGTCTAAACCAGGTCTAAACCAGATCTAAACCAGGACTAAACCAGGTCTAAACCAGGACTAAACCAGGACTAAACCAGGTCTAAACCAGGACTAAACCAGGACTAAACCAGGTCTAAACCAGGTCTAAACCAGGTCTAAACCAGGACTAAACCAGGTCTAAACCAGGTCTAGAGTCAGTACCTTGCAGTAGCAGTAGGACAGGGGGAGGATGTACAGGAGCGTCAACAGAAGAATCACCACGACTCTGATGATCAGGTTTGAGACTAAATCTGCAACACAAAAGAACCCAGATCAGACCAGGACCAAGACCAGTACCAAGACCAGGACCAGGACCGAGACCAGGACCAGGACCGAGACCAGGACCGAGACCAGGACCAGGGCCGAGACCAGGGCCAAGACCAGGGCCGAGACCAGGACCCAACACTGACCCCCGAGTCTGTAGCTGGACGTACCTCCCACAGAGAGCTGGAGTGTGTGTGTGTGTATAGTGTGTGTGTGTGTGTGTATAGTGTGCGTGTGTGTGTGTGTGTATAGTGTGTGTGTGTGTGTGTGTGTATAGTGTGTGTGTGTGTGTGTGTGTGTGTGTGTGTGTGTGTGTGTAGTGTGTGTGTGTGTGTGTGTGTGTGTGTGTGTGTGTGTGTGTGTGTGTGTATAGTGTGTGTGTGTGTGTGTGTGTGTGTGTGTAGTGTGTGTGTGTGTGTGTGTGTATAGTGTGTGTGTGTGTGTGTGTATAGTGTGTGTGTGTGTGTGTGTATAGTGTGTGTATGTGTGTGTGTGTGTGTGTGTGTGTATAGTGTGTGTGTGTGTGTGTGTGTGTGTGTATAGTGTGTGTGTGTGTGTGTGTGCATGCGTGCGTGTGTGTGTGTGTTGGTGGTCGGAGGGACTGATGGTGCAGATTGGCAGATTTGCTGCTGTCAGTCTGCCCCAGGGCAGCTGTGGCTACAATAGTAGGTTACACCACTGGGTCTGAAGTGAATGAAGAATGTTCTGTAAAACGTCTTTGAGTGTCCAAAAAAGTGCTGTATTAAACTGATGCTGTATTATTATTATTATTATTATTATTATTATTATTATTATTATTACTGACACAAATATAAATATAATATGACCATAACTCCCACAAAACTGTCAAATAAGTTTGTTTTTAACTGCGCAAACCTCAGAGCTTTGAGCTGAAAAGTCGCGATGAAAAGTCGGCACAATCTTTTGTATTTGGACAGATTTTATTTTTTATTTTTTTATGTAGACAATTTCCTGTCTTACAGAAAGCCCAGTAATGTGAACAAAGGCCCACCCCATTCATTTAGCCCAGTCTCTAATTATAAACAGGATCACTAGTGCACATTTTTGAAGAAAGATTTTGAATAGTTTTTGGACAATTTTAAATAATTTCTCAAAGATTTCAACTTGTGCTGTTGCAATTTTGAATGATGCACATGACATATAAGTCAATATTTATGGAAAAATATAGCCAGAATGGGAAAAAAATAAAATAAATAATAATATTGCCACCTGGTGGTTGCACCCAGTACTACAGGGGCGCTACACTATAACAGGTGCGTCCTCACTAGTCACCAAGATCCAGAAAAATCTCAAAGAAGAAAACAAATGGAGATTTTTGTTCACTTTTTTTCCTTGGCTTCCAGGCCCAAGAAAAAATTTGAGGGTGTTTTTTGTGACTCTAACTCCCTCAGAAAAATAGGCTCCCCATATGTGACAGTACAGCATAAGGTCCCCAAAAGTTGTGTGCATGTGTTCTGTGTGTATAGTGTGTGTGTGTATAGTGTGTGTGTGTATAGTGTGTGTGTGTGTATAGTGTGTGAGTGTGTATAGTGTGTGTGTGTATAGTGTGTGTGTGTGTGTGTGTGTGTGTGTGTGTGTGTGTGTGTGTGTGTGTGTACCTCCCACAGAGAGCTGGAGTGTGTGGCTCTGAGAGGAGAAGTTGTGGTCAAACACCTGCAGGAGGTAAACACAGGTGTAGTTTCCTTTGTGGGCGTGGTCCTGATTGGCTCTGAACAGACAAGAGACAGAGTGAAGCTCCGCCCCTTTAAGGCCTATTCATATTTCATGAGAACATAAAAACTTTGTTCTTGTTCTTGACGTGATAAGAAAAAGAACAAAGTTTGTTTGGGCTCTGACATTTCATACTTCAAAAGATGTTGCCCCGCCCCTCCACTCTGCTCCGCCCCCTCACTCTGCCCCGCCCCTCACTCGAGGGGATTTCTTTTCCTCCTCCAGCCTGACCTGATCTTTTTTTTAGTGCTTTGCTTTCACAAACTTGTCATGGACTCCAGACTTTTCTACACTGATTTTAATCTGAGCCTAAAATGTCGTCCATCTCCATCCATGAATTTCTTTCATTTGTCTCTTTATCGTCACTGAGCGTCGTGTTGTACAGATGTTTGTATTTTCTCAACATTTCCTCCAGCTGTGACACAAAACTATCCTTTTTTATTTTTCTTGCTCTGCACCGACGAGGAAGCAGATAAGCCACGCCCACATAAATAACCAATCAGAGTGAAGATGTGGGACAAAGTTCTGCTCAGCTGAAGAGTCGAGAACAAACCACAAGAACTGAACAACAGGAGCTGGACCAACAACAGAACGTCATTTAGTTCAGTCAGAACAAAGTTCTTATGAAGTATGAATAAGCCTTTTGAGCCCCGCCCCTTTACCTGAGCAGGTGAGGCCCCGCCCCTTTACCTGAGCAGTGAAGCCCCGCCCTTTTACCTGAGCAGTGAAGCCCCGCCCCTTTACCTGAGCAGGTGAGGTTGACAGTGGCTCCAGAGGAGCAGGTGCTTGAGTTGGAGCGGGGACAGTCCATCAGAGCAGACTCATGTCCCTCACAGTGGAACGTCTGCCCCAGAGGAGAGAGCGCCCCCTGGAGGAGAGAAGGAGCCCCACAGTCCAGCTCCCTGCACAGCACCTCTGTCCCCCGCTGGTCCAAGTCCCCGTCACAGACCCCGGTCCAGGACCCGTCCCAGATCTGCACTGATCCTGAACACAGACCGGACCCCGAGACCAACCGCACCGACTCTGTGGTTCAGGGAGAAGAGAATAAACATGATTGAGACTAAAGCTGGAGCCTGGAGCCTCGTGACGCTCTGGTCACACCACAGAAAGTCACACTCAGGAAGCTTTGATTTGTGGAACTGAACACGTTCCAGACTCACTTCAAACTACAGTTGAACATTTGCTCTTTTTTCTCTGGTTACAAATCCAAACATACATTTAATTCAGTCTCAGACGAACCATAAAAACATCCATCCATCCATTTTCTTCTGCTTATTCTGGGTCGCATCGCGGGGGCAACAGTCTGAGGAGGGCCTCCCAGACTTCCCTCTCCACACACACGTCCTCCAGCTCTTCCAGGGGGATCCCGAGGTGTTCCCAGGCCAGCCAAGAACGCCCTCCAGTCCCTCCAGCGTGTCCTGGGTCTTCCCCGGGGCCTCCTCCCGGTGGGACATGAACACCTCCCGAGGGAGGCGTCCAGGAGGCATCCGGAACAGATGCCCGAGCCTCAACTGGCTCCTCTCGACGTGGAGGAGCAGCGGCTCTACTCTGAGCTCCTCCCGTGTGACTGAGCTCCTCACCCTGTCTCTAAGGGAGCGCCCAGCCACCCTGCGGAGGAAACTCATTTCGAGCGCTTGTATCCGCGATCTCGTCCTTTCAGTCATTACCCAGAGCTCATGACCAGAGGTGAGAGTAGGAACGAAGACTGACCGGTAAATCGAGAGTTTCGCCTTTCGGCTCAGCTCCTCTTCACCACAACAGTCCAATACAGCGACCGCATCACTGCCGAAGCTGCACCGATCCGCCTGTCAATCTCACGCTCCATCCTCCCCTCACTCGTGAACAAGACCCCGAGATACTTGAACTCCTCCACTTGAGGCAGGCACTCTCCATCCTCCCAGAGACGAAAAGACACCTTTTTCCGGTCAAGGACCATGGCCTCGGATTTGGTGGAGCGGATCCTCATCCCAGCCACTTCACACTCGGCTGCAAACCGTCCCAGTGCACATTGCAGGTCCTGGTTCGATGAAGCCAACAGGACAACATCATCTGCAAACAGCAGAGATGAAATCCTGTGGTCCCCAAACCGGACCCCCTCCGGCCCCTGACTGCGCCTAGAAATTCTGTCCATAAATATAATGAACAGAACCGGTGACAAAGGGCAGCCCTGGCGGAGTCCAACATGCACCGGGAAAAGGTCTGACTTACTGCCGGCAATGCGAACACAGCTCCTGCTCCGGTCATACAGGGACCGGACAGCCCTTAGCAAAGGGCCCCGGACCCCAGACTCCCAGAGCACCCCCCACAGGACACCACAAGGGACACGGTCGAATTCCTTCTCCAGATCCACAAAACACATGTGGACTGGTTGGGCAAACTCCCATGAACCTCGAGCACCTATGGAGAGTGTAGAGCTGGTCCAGTGTTCCACAGCCAGGACGAAAACCACACTGCTCCTCCTGAATCCGAGGTTCGACTATCGGCTGGATTCTCCTCTCCAGTACCCTGGCATAGACCGGGGAGACTGAGGAGTGTGATTCCCCTGTAGTTGGAACACACCCTCCGGTCCCCTTTCTTATATAGAGGGACCACCACCCCAGTTTGCCAGTCCAGAGGTACTGTCCCCGACTGCCACGCGATGTTGAAGAGGCGTGTCAACCAAGACAGCCCCACAACATCCAGAGATTTGAGATACTCAGGACGGATCTCATCCAACCCCGGAGCCTTGCCACCAAGGAGCTTGCCAATCACCTCAGTGACTTCAGCCAGGGTGATGGATGAGTCCGCCTCCGAGTCCCCAGCCTCGGCTTCCTCCTCGGAAGACGTGACGGTGGGATTGAGGACATCCTCAAAGTATTCCTTCCACCGAGGTCCAGTCGAGGTCAGCAGCTCTCCCCCCGCACTGTAAACAGTGTTGGTGAAGAACTGCTTTCCCCTCCTGAGACGGTTTGCCAGAATTTCTTTGAGGCCATCCAATAGTCCTCCTCCATGGCCTCCCCGAACTCCTCCCAGCTCTGAGTTTTTGCCTCCACAACCACACGAGCTGCAGCACGCTTGGCCCGCCGGTACCTGTCAGCTGCCTCAGGAGTCCCCCGAGCCAGCAAGGCCCGATAGGACTCCTTCTTCAGCTTGACGGCATCCCTTACTTCCGGTGTCCACCACCGGGTTCGGGGATTGCCGCCGCGACAGGCACCACAGACCTTACGCCCACAGCTCCAACTTGCCCACTCGGACTCCATATCTCCGGCCTACCCCGGAATCTGGGAGAAGTCCTCCCGGAGGTGCGAGTTGAAAGTCCCTCTGACAGAGGCTCCGCCAGACGTTCCCAACAGACCCTCACTACACGCTTGGGCCTGCCAGGTCTTTCCGGCTTCCTCCTCCGCCAGCAAACCCAACTCACCACCAGGTGGTGATCAGTTGACAGCTCAGCCCCTCTCTTCACCCGAGTGTCCAAGACACGCGGCCGGAGGTCAGATGACACGACTACAAAGTCGATCATCGACCTCCGGCCTAGGGTGTCCTGGTGCCACGTGCACTTATGGACACCCTTGTGCTGGAACATGGTGTTTGTTATGGACAAACCGTGACTAGCACAGAAGTCCAATAACAAAACACCACTCGGGTTCAGATCGGGGAGGCCGTTCCTCCCAATCACCCCTCTCCAAGTGTCACTGTCGTTGCCCACGTGGGAGTTGAAGTCCCCCAGTGGAACAACGAAGTCCCCAGTCGGTGCACTGTCCAGTACCCCTCCCAGGGACTCCAAGAAGGTCGGTACTCGAGTACTCTGCACTGCTGTTCGGCCCGTAGGCCGACACAACAGTGAGAGACCTGTCCCCAACCCAAAGGCACAGGGACACGACCCTCTCGTTCACCGGGGTGAACTCCAACACACAGCGGCTGAGCTGTGGGGCAATGAGCCCACACCAGCCCGCCGCCGCTCCCCGCGGCCAACGCCAGAGAAATGGAGAGTCCAACCTCCTTCAAGGAGTTGGGTACCAGAGCCCAAACTGTGCAAAGACGTGAGCCCGACTATATCTAGCCGGTATCTCTCAACCTCCCGCACAAGCTCGGGCTCCTTCGCCCCCAGCGAGGTGACATTTCACGTCGCAACAGCCAGATGCTGTGTGTGCGGACCAGGCTGTCGAGACACCCGTCCCCGACCGCCGCCCAGTCCTCTAAGCACCCGACCCCTATGAACCCCTCTGCAGGTGGTGAGCCCACAGGAGGGTGGACCCACGTCGTCCTTTCGAGCTGAGCCCGGCCCAGCCACCAGGGCACCAGGACCATAAAAACATGACTGACTGAAATTTTAATTCAAGGTCATGGAAAATGTAGGAATGTTTATGGAAAATTTATGGAACACCTTAAGATAAAATCTGTATGAAGCCTGCACAGAGGAGTGTGAAACCTCTGAGAGAAACAAACAAATGTAAGATCAGACTTTTACCTGAACACTTCACCTCCACACCCTGGGAAGAGTAGAATGAATCAAAGCTACATCGTCTCACTGAAGACTTCTTCACACAGTCAGGTGTGAGCCTCCACACACGACTCTCGGCAAAATCATATCTCTGTTCTCCATAAACAGCAGAGCCACAGTCCAGGTCTCTGCACACACCAGCTGTGTGCTCCTGGTCCCAGTGTGTATAGGGCTCCATCACTCGTCCCCACTCTCCTCTGTGTTTCACCTCCAGAGTCCCAGAACAGCGACTGGCTCCTCCCACCAACCTGATTGGCTCTGAACAGACAAGAGACAGAGTGAAGCCCCGCCCCTTTACCTGAGCAGTGAAGTCCCGCCCCTTTACCCTTTACCTGAGCAGTGAAGCCCCGCCCCTTTACCTGACACAAACACACACTCAGTGAGCAGGTTGTGGGTTTGACTCCTGGTCTGTGTGAGTGTGTTGCTAAGTGGTTCTTACCTGCTGAGCTGTTGTTTTCTGCCTGGACCCCTGCACACAGGACCCCTGCACACAGGACCCCTGCACACAGGACCCCTGCACACAGGACCCCTGCACACAAAGAGTTCATGTCACAAAATGGCATCCAAATATGTTCGCTCATCGTTGTGAAAGCAGTAGGTCCGACGCCCTCGGTTCTGCTCACGTCCATCGTCATTGAGCTCTTCGATTACTCACAAACCCAGTGCACGTTTTTGGAGATTACGAGAGTTAACGATCACAATTATGCCGCTGTCATGGCAACGGGCAATACCAGTCTGTTCTATTGGATTGGCATTGAGTGTTTGATAAAGGGAGAGCTCTTCGTGCACCATGTCAAGTGTGCCCTGTGTTTTGGGGTGAACAATAACATGGGCGATGCCACCGTGCCATGTGAGACATGAGTGCCACTTGTTTGGAAAGGGGAGAGAGTGTGTTTGCGTCTGACATTTAGAGAGTAAAAATAAAATCAAAATACACATTTGTAAATTTGAATCATACATTTACATACAAAGTTTGAAAAAACACGAATCCTGTTTTTTTTTTGTTTTAGCCAAATGAATTTCAGTTGTACAAAAATGTGCTCTGATCGATTCTTAAACAAAGTTTGAACCTGCTTTTCTGTTCCCTTCTAGATTTAGTTTTCTATTTATTTATCTTTTAATCCAAATGTTTTCCATAATAATCATCTTAAAACTGACATAAGACATTTATTTTTAAATAAAAATTGCAGATTTTCACCTTTTATTATATTATTTCTGCCTCTTTTTATGTCAAAGTCACAGAGAAGAACTCACCCCAACAGCAGAAGGACAGAAACAGCAACCTGAAGAACAAGTCCAGGAACCAGGACCAAACTAGGACCGAACCGGGATGAACCAGGACCAAACCAGCACCGAACCAGGACCGAACCAGGACCAAACCAGCACCGAACCAGGACTAAACCAGGACTGAGCCAAGATTGAACCATGACTGAACCGGGACAGAACCAGGACTGAATCAGGACCAAACTAGCACCAAACGAGGACTAAACCAGGTCTGAACCAGGACTAAACCAGGTCTGAACCAGGTCTGAAGCAGGACTTTGCGTTTCCTGTTTTTTAACACGTTCTTATCTCTTGATCCTTTGTGGTTTTTCTCGTGAAGACGGAAATATTAAATAAAACTTTGCACTAATAGATCAACATCAGCGAGTGTCATAGCAACCAAAGAGCCAATCAGGAGCCACGAAGGGGAAACCTGCTGCTAACGCCAACAGGAGCCACCTTCATGACATCACGAGGTGGAGCAGAGCGTCACTGAACCATAAAGTTTAACTCAGACGTCGGTGAATGAAAACACAACTCCGGGAAAGTTCCGTGATGTGACTTTAAACGTTGTCGTCGTTTCTGTTGCTCCAAAAATAAAAAAATAAAAATAACATTGATCCTTTTCTGTGAACAGAGGCGCCTCTCCGCAGATCTGACCTGTAGTGCAGAGCTGTAACCTGCTCGTTTCCCTGGTGACAGAGCTTTAATCTACACTGCGGAACATTCTAGACAAAGCAGTGATATTTCCATGGGGATAAGAAGGTGGCACAGATAATACTCCCTACAACTGTACAACAACTCACCCTTATGTAACAGATAATACTCCCTACAACTGTACAACAACTCACCCTTATGTAACAGATAATACTCCCTACAACTGTACAACAACTCACCCTTATGAAACAGATAATACTCCCTACAACTGTACAACAACTCACACTTATGAAACAGATAATACTCCCTACAACTGTACAACTCACTCTTAGGTAACAGATAATACTCCCTACAACTGTACAACTCACTCTTAGGTAACAGATAATACTCCCTACAACTGTACAACTCACCTTTATGTCACAGATAATACTCCCTACAACTGTACAACTCACCCTTATGTCACAGATAATACTCCCTACAACTGTACAACTCACCCTTATGTCACAGATAATACTCCCTACAACTGCACAACTCAACTTTATGGAACAGATAATACTCCCTACAACTGTACAACAACTCACCCTTATGTAACAGATAATACTCCCTACAACTGTACAACTCATCCTTATGTCACAGATAATACTCCCTACAACTGCACAACTCAACTTTATGTCACAGATAATACTCCCTACAACTGTACAACTCACCCTTATGTCACAGATAATACTCCCTACAACAGTACAACAACTCTGCCTTATGTAGCAGATAATACTCCCTACAAATAAAGCAGAATTATGTAAATATAAATGTACAAGTCCAAATAAATGTAATAATAAAAATATTTGTCTTTTTTTTTTTTTAAAGATGTGTTGAGGGAAAACAGAGAAAAGACTCAAGAAAGGATCTGTTCTGTGAGTCAAACTCGTGTCAGGCCAAAGGGAAATGCACATTATTTTTCTTTATTTCAGACACAAATTTTATTCTGAAAAACTGTTAAACAGAAACAAACACAAAGGCGACGGACGAGTCCAGAACGTCGATTAAAAAGTCAAAGCAGAGGTTCAAACGAGAGCGTTACTCCTCAAGACCACCAGAGGGCGACACGACACAACAAGACACACAGGCCCACAACACAGGACTAAACCAGGACTAAACCAGGTTTAAAACAGGACTAAAATAAGACTAAACCAGGACTAAAACAGGACTAAAATAAGACTAAACCAGGACTAAAACAAGACTAAATTTAGTCCTGGTTTAGTCCTAGTTTTGTCCTGGTTTAGACCCGGTTTAATCTTAGTTCAACTCTGGTTGAGTTCTGGTTTAGACCTACTTCAGTACTGGTTTAGAACTCCTTAAACCTAGTTTAGTCCTGGTTTAGTCCTGGTTTAGACCTGGTTTAGTCCTGGTTTAGACCTGGTTTAGTCCAACAGTGTCCCTTAACGTAACCCCAAAATTACGTAAATAAATTTGGTTTTATTTTGCGTTCCGGAAGTGACCGGACACACTTCCGGCGAAAAACTTCGCCTTTTATTTTGACGTCGCCAGCCTCCAGTTTTATTTTGACGCGTCGCCCGGAAGTCCCGCCGCGTCCTTCACGTCCTCCGCGCTTGACGCTCCTCCTCCCGCCGCCGCCGCCGCCGACGCCGCCGCCGCCGCCGCCGAGTCCCGCTGCCGCCGCTCCGTGCGCGTGTGGACGGAAGAACGCACCGCCCCGAGCCCCGCGGAACATGCCCCGCAGCCGCCGGTGAAGGCCTCCAGAGTGTCCGGGCGGGAGACGCAGCACGGATCCGGCCCGGTGTGCGCACGATCCCCGCCAGGATGTGGAAAGTTTTGGCTACGAGCGGTGCCGTAGTTTTCCCCGGTCTGTTCTGGGCTCTCCGGAGGGTCCTGCCGCGCGTGTTCCGCCGCTGGAGCGATGCGGACGTGGTGCTGGTCAGCGAGAGGTAAGAACGACAAAACAAACGCGAAAAAATAAATAAACCGCACGGAAAAGACGCGTCCGATCGGAGCTTTTCGCATCAGGACCTCGGCGTTTGCACCACGTGGTTTATTCTACGGTGTCGCAGTTGCATTTGGGGTTTAAGCTAGTTTTTTTTTTTTTTTTTTTTTTTTTTTTTTTTTTTTTCGGCTTGTTGTTTTTTTTCGTCGTCGCGGGACCCGTTAGCCCGACCGAGCCACGCGCCTTCGCCCCCGTTTCTGCTGCCGATGCGCTTTTCGTGGGATGCTCCGCGCGCGCCGGACCGTGGGAACGAAAACACGTAACACGTAAGCGTAAAAGCCCGGCGCGGTGCGTGGTTCGGGGGTTCGGGGTCCCGCAGGTCCCGGAGATGTTTGGACCTGCGGGAAGTTTTTTGTAGGTTTTCGGGATTTGCGCAGTTGTCGGTTTGTTCCACTTACTCCAAAAACATCAGCGTCGGCGGTCATATGCCCCGAACCACGTGACTCCGCCCTCTGGACCAAGTTCTGTCTCCAGACCTGGTTTAGACCTGGTTTAGTCCTGTTTGAGTCCTGGTTTAGACCTGTGTTAGTCTTAGTTTAATTCTGGTGTAGTCCTGTTTTAATCCTGGTTTGATTCCCGGTTTCAGTCCTGTTTGAGTCCAGTTTCAGTCCTGCTTTACTCCTGCTTTAGTCCTGGTTTAGTCCTGTTGTAGTCCTGGTTTAGTACTGTTGTAGTCCTGGTTTAGTACTGTTGTAGTCCTGGTTTAGTACTGTTGTAGTCCTGTTTAGTCCTGTTGTAGTCCTGTTGTAGTCCTGTTGTAGTCCTGTTGTAGTCCTGTTGTAGTCCTGTTGTAGTCCTGCTTTAGTCCTGCTTTAGTCCTGGTTCAGTCTTGGTTCAGTCCTGGTTTAGTCCCTGTTTGGTTCCTGGTTTAGTCCTGGTTTAGTCCTGTTGTAGTCCTGGTTTAGTCCTGCTTTAGTCTTGGTTCAGTCTTGGTTCAGTCCTGGTTTAGTCCCTGTTTGGTTCCTGTTTTAGTCCTGGTTTAATCCTAGTTTAGTCCTAGTTTAGATCTGGTTTAGACCTGGTTTAGTCCTTGTTTTAGTCCCTGTTTTAATCCTGGTTTAGTCCTAGTTTTGACCTAGTTTAGACCTGGTTTAGACCTGTTTTAGTCTTTGTTTTAGTTCTGTTTTAGTCCTGGTTCAGTCCTAGTTTAGTCCTGTTTGAGTCCTGTTGTAGTCCTGGTTTAGTTTTGTTTTTGTCCTAGTTTAGTCCTGGTTCAGTCTTGGTTTGGTCCTGGTTTAGTCCTATTTTAGTCCTGTTTTAGTCCTGCTTTAGTCCTGGTTTAGTTCTGTTTAGTCCTAGTTTAGTCCTGGTTTAGTCCTGTTTGAGTCCTGGTTCAGTCCTGGTTCAGATTTTTTTTCATTTGTTTGAAAATCTGTGAGTTTCACAATTTTCAAATCTCCAGATGAGCTGCTTCTCGTGTTTGGAAGAGGATCAACCTGAAAACTCTTAACGTCCCACATGACGCAAAACCGACTGTGTGAGTTTCAGACGAGTTCTGACGCTCGGCCCTCCACAAAAACACACAAAATATTAAAATATGAAAACATAAAAACACAAAAACATAAAAAAAACCCCACAAAACTCAAGAACAAAAACATAAAAACATAAAAAAACATAAAAATATAAAAACATGAAAAACATAAAAAACATAAAAACACAAAAAACTAAAAAAAAAAACAAACATAAAAAACAAAACACAAAAACAAAAAATTCAAAAACATAAAAACTCAAAAACATAAACTCAACAAATACATAAAATAATAGCATAGCATAAAATAAATCAACGTGAACTCTCCAACGAGTCGAACAGAAAATGTATTGTGTGTGTCCTGGTTTAGTCCTGGTTTAGTCCTGGTTTAATCCTGTTTTAGTCCTGTGTCTAATCCAGGTCTAAAATTATCATTTAGTTCTGGTTTAGTCCTGTTTCAGTCCTGTTTTAGTCTTGGTTTTAGGCCTGGTTTAGACTTAGTTAAACCTGGTTTAGTCCTCCTGGTTCAGTTCTGTTTTAGTTCTGTTTTAGTCCTTTTTTAGTCCTGGTTTAGTCCTGGTTTAGTTCTGTGAAGTCCTATTGTATTTTTGAGTCAAGTTACGTCTGTAAATTTGTTTTCGTAATCGTACATTTTCATTTTGGGATTTTAATTCTTGACGTCGTAACTTTTCACTTCGTTTTCTGATTTATAAAAAACAAATGACATTTTCTGTTCGACTCGACTCGATTCGGAGTTTAACGAGATTTATTTCACGCTCAACTACGACAAATATGCACACGAATATTTCTGAAAACTTTCTTACTCCATATTATATATCAGGTTGCGCTGTCCCACCTTGTGATGTCATGAAGTGGTAGTTTTCATGTTGATTTAGCGACTGGACGTTCCTGTTTTCCAGGGACAGTCCCACTTTTGATCCCAGTGTCCCAACAGATTTATACAAAACCACTGATTTGTCCCAGTTTTATACAGAAAATGTCTCTATTTTTTTTTTTTAAACAATTTGTCATTTGTTTTGGTAAAATACAGAAAAACTACTTAAAAAACGACCAAAAAATCAAGAAAATGTGACTAAACTGACTCACATTTTCGTCATGAATGGGCCCAGTGCTGAAAATTCTCCTTAATTACGAATTTGTTTCACAATTTTATTTTTTACCGACTACAACAAACCGGGGTTATCAGTTTTTTTTTGTTTTGTTTTTTAATTTTGAAAACGAGGCGGTCTGTGGTCTGGACTGAAAAGTAAAAGTGCTTTTCTTTACAGTTTGAGACGTTTAATTTGAGAATCCAGTCGAATTTTTTAACAGGTTAAAGATTTACAGTGAATATTTACATCACTAAATATATTGTTTATCGGCAGCTCCAAAACCCCTTTATCTGTTTCATATTGGATTAAAAAAAAAAAAAAAAAAACATAAAAAAACCAAACATAAAAACTCAAAAACATAGAAACACAAAAACATAAAAACACAAAACACAAAAAACTACAAAAACAACAAAACATAAAAAAACAAAAAACAAAAAACACAAAAAACATTAAAAACAAAAACATAAAAACACAAAAAAAAACACAAAAACTTAAAAAAACAAAAACAACAACATAAAAACACAAAAACATAGAAACACAAAAACATTAAAACAAAAACATAAAAACACAAAAACATAGAAAAAACAAAAAAAAACAACAACAGAAAAACTCAAGAACACATAAACTCAGACCTGGACTTGTTTCGTTTCATTCACACGAGTTTTGATTGTTGAAAGTTTTCACAGGAGAGAAATCTGAGCAGATTTGTCTGGAGCTGAGCATAAAATAAATAAACGTGAACTCTCCAACGAGTCGAACAGAAAATGTGTCGTGTGTGTCCTGGTTTAGTTCTGGTTTAGTCCTGGTTTAGTCCTGGTTTAGTCCTGGTTTAGTCCTGGTTTAGTCCATATCGTTCTGGCCCTGATCTTAACCCAAACTTTTATTTCAAAAACAAAGGTATTTTAAGTGTCATGTTGAGAATTACTCACCAAAATTGATGTCAAAGTTTAGTTTTTACTTTTATTTCAAATACTTAACTCCAGACCTGCTCAACCGGTTTGTTCTTGTTTTTAACTTTATTTTTGGTAAAACAAAATAAATAGTTTAATGTAACAATGACAATAATACAATATTAAATAAATAAAATATAATATGTAATTCTGTAAGTCTCTGTGTGTGTGTGTATTGTGTGTGTGCTCTGTGTGTGTGTGTGTATGTGTGTGTGTGTGTGTATTGTGTTGTGTGTGTGCGTGTGTTGTGTGTGTCTGTGTGTGTGTGTGTGTGTGTGTTGTGTGTGTTGTGTGTTGTGTGGGTGTCTGTGTGCGAGTGTGTTTGTGTGTATTGTGTGTGTATTGTGCCTGTCTTAGTATATGTGTTTATGTTGTGTGTGTGTATTGTGTGTGTGTGTGTATTGTGTGTGTGTATTGTGTGTGTGTGTGTGTGTATGTGTGTGTGTGTGTGTGTGTGTGTATTGTGTGTGTGCTCTGTGTGTGTGTGTGTGTGTGTGTGTGTGTGTGTGTGTGCTCTGTGTGTGTGTGTGTGTGTATTGTGCTCTGTGTGTGTGTGTGTGTGTGTGTGTGTGTATTGTGTGTGTGCTCTGTGTGTGTGTGTGTGTATTGTGCTCTGTGTGTGTGTGTGTGTGTATTGTGCTCTGTGTGGTGTGTGTGTGTGTGTATTGTGCTCTGTGTGTGTGTGTGTGTGTGTGTGTGCGTCGTGACATGTGCGTGGTCTAATGTTCTTCTTCCTGTTTAAAGCTCCTCCTCTTCTTCCTCGTTACTTGGTTATTCTAATAAAAGCTCTGAGGACTTTCTCTGCATAAGGAAGTAGCTTTAATCGAAGCGTCTTCTCATAATGGCTCCATCTGCTCCACTCCCTCTTCTCTGCGCCCGCCGCCATAACCATCACCAAATCTCACCGCCCCGAGTCGCCCCGAGTCACCACGCGACAAACATCTGACAGCCGATTTGATGTTCATTGTGTAACACTTCTGTTGGAGTGTCTCATCTGATTTTTTTTTTTTTTTCATTAAACGTATCTCTCTTGCGTTTATTCAATCGCAGGCGTTTTTATGGCTTAAAACGACACGAGCAGCGTTGCCTCTCCATAGATCTGACGTGTAACTGGCCTTGGTGCTGTCACTTTTTTGTCTCCAAGGAGTTTGATAGGTTTAATGCAAAACTGTGGAGCGTTCTGGACAAAGCATCCTGAAGTCTCACCATCCGAGTCCCCGCGAGTCACCATGGTTCACCGCAAGTCCCCAGGGTTCACACGCGAGTCCCCACAGTTCACCACAAATTCATTACGGTTCACTCGCGAGTCCCCACAGTTCACCACAAATTCATCACGGTTCACCCGCGAGGCCCCACGGTTCACCCGCGAGGCCCCACGGTTCACCCGCGAGGCCCCACGGTTCACCCGCGAGTC